GGTTTAGGGTCTAGTGTTTAGGGGTGCCGGCATTTACGCCCCTAAGCCCCCAAAATCCCCGTGCTTTTTGGGGTTCCCAAAGAGCCCAATATTGCTTAATTAAGGAATATTCCTTAAATCATATTAAGGATCCCTATATGCTCTACGGAATATTCCTTAATTAAGCAATATTTGGGCTCTTTGGGGTTGGGGAAGTTACGAGTCGCCAAAGTGCTCGGCAGCTGCGATCGCCAGGTGCTCGGCAACATTGTGCCGAGCCTTGTCCCCAACGGGGCCTTCACCTGGGCGTTCCGTTTAGGGGTTTAGGGTTTAGGGCCTTCACCTGGGCGTTCCGTTTAGGGGTTTAGGGTTCAGGGTGTAGAGGTTTCCAGCCTAGAGGCTGAAAACCCCCACCCCCTAAAAGTTGACCTTTTCGTGGTAGTAGGGTTGTATGCAGCCAAAAAGGTCATACAAGGTTAACTACCCAGCCCATAAGTCAGAAACAGCGCAACTCCAGGACTTGTGGCTCCGTGCTTAAGTTCTTTCTTGCTTGCTTTTCTGCCATGTAGAGCCCACCCAAGGTTCGACAACGCAAAGGAAGCTGACTGTGCAAGCCGAAAGGAACGCTCGCATCAGGGCCTTTCTTTCCATTTATCTTATATATATATATATGTACATATATATATATATATACATATATTACTATACATTTATTATTTTGTGTTATTTTATTTTATGTATTTTATTTTATTTTTATTTTTTTTTTTGGGGGGGGGGGCCGCGGAAGATGTGTAATTTGTGTAGGAGAGGGGGAAAACCCAAACAAAACCTCAAGCCCCCGGAGCCATAAGCCTAAGCCCTTAGCAGCTAGACCTCAAGCAGCTAACTCCTACCTAAACCCTAAACCCTAACCCCAAACCCTACATCCCAACCCTAAACCCTAAACCCTCAATGAACGTCCTGGGGTCCGGGCTAAAGATCAGGTCCAAACTGCCAACCTCGCGTCAATGGGGGTTGTGTCCGCAACCCTTGGGGTTTAGGGTTTCGGGTTTAGGGTTTAGGGTTTAGCCCAAGCTGCCAGCACACCCAGACAATTGTTCGGGCTCTACCTTACTTTGGAGTCTCAGGTTTTAGGGCTTAGGGTTTTGGGTTTGGGGTAGTTATGTGGTCCCTTAAGTATGGGCGCCACATGTAGCCTTAAACCCTTAACCCTAAACCGTGTCCTGCCCAAACCCGAATAAAAATCAAAAGCTACGGCAAATCATGGGGTGTTGGGGGTTAGGGCTTAGGGGTCTCGGATTCAGTTAGGCCTTTGGGTTCAGATTCAGCATTATTATAGGTCATAGGCTAGGAGGGACCATAGAAGTAGATCGTCATTGAACCGACCATCCACAACCTTAAGCCCTAAACCCTGTACCCCCATGCCTTCGCAGACCCTCCACAAACATGCTCTACCCCCCCCCCCCCCCCCCCCCCAGGAATGAAATCGCACATGTGTGTTTGTTTGCGACCCAAACTCCCTCCCACCCTCCACCCACGAACAAAATAAAAACAGAAACCGTTTCCCTAAAGCCAGAAAAACGCGACCCTAAACACTAAACCCTAAACCCCTCCTAAGCCTTTCAAGCCCTATGGGAGCCCCATGCCTAAGCAACGAACTCAGCCTCGAAGTATCCTTGGAGCGCCCCCTGAAAACTCCAAATGCCCTGAAGCCCTAAGCGTCCTGAACCTTGAGGCGCAGCCCTCAACCCGAAACCCCTCAAGCCCTGATGGCCCTGATAGCCCTAAACCCTAAAACCCTAAACCCTAAACCCTAAACCCTAAACCCTAAACCCTAAACCCAAAACCCCACCGCAGCAGGGAGGGCCTTGACACCGGAAGCATCGCTCCCCGGCATCCCGAAAGCCTTCAGGGTTTAGGGTTTGGGGTTTAGGGTTTAGGGTATAGGGTTTAGGGTTTGTGGTTTATGGTTTAGGGTTTAGGGTATAGGGTTAGGGTTTGGGGTTTGGGGTATTCAGGGTATTTAGGGTATTAAGGGTATTAAGGGTATTTAGGTTTAGTTTCGGGTCCGGGTTCAGGGTTTGGCGTCCTACGGAGCAAAGCCTTAAAAACTCATAGGGTTTGGGTGGGGGTTAGGGTAGGAACCCTGAACCACCTCCTTGTCAGTGCGACCTATTGTTCCAAAACCTTTCAAGAGATCCTGGTGCTAAGACCTGCGGTCTGCTTTGAAGGTTTAGGCTCCAGGGTTTAGGTTTAGGGTTCAAGGTTTGGGGGGTTGGGTTTAGGGTGTAGGGATCAGGGTTTAGGGTTCAGGGTTCGGGGTGCATGTAACGATTAAGGGTTTAGGGTATTAAGGTATATGCTTTGAGCTATACTTGGGCTCCTTTCCCTGAACGATAAGCTCCCAATCCTCCCTCATGCTTCCCTTAGCTCTAAACCCTAAACCCTAAGCCCTGAACCTTACACCCAGAACGAATGCCCTGAACCCTGAAAACCCCACACATACCCCAAAAGGACTCCGCAGCTACAGCCTGAAGCCAACCCCGACCCCTTCACACACCTCCCACAAGGGACCCTAAGACCAAATCATCCTCATTCCCCTGAACCCTAAGCCTAAACCCTAA